AGTCTTGTAAAAGAAACTTTCCCCTACATTTTACTCGCCTAAATAAAATACTTTACGATTTTGCTTTCTCCTAGGACCTGTTATTCAGAAATTTGGATTTGCTCTCTCGGGTTGGATAATTCTCATCTTAACAGGCATTTGTGCGGTGTTATCAGGGTTTCTACCCAATACCCGAGATCTCTGGTATAATCCAGGTACCAAAGGGAAGAAATCCCAGCAGTACGACAAGGACACGAGACAGAATCTCCTCTCTGTCTCCTCAGCAAGCACGGAGATTCCCTCAACTCACTCCATCTCTCCAACGAGGAAGTCCTGCTGCCTCGCCCTCAAGCAGGTGAGAAAGAGGACTGCCTGCGAATCGAAAATTGCTCTTTCTGCCGTTTTTCAGTTATTAAAATATCAAAATAGTTGATACAGAGGTGTAATGTGGATTAGGCACACATAAAATCTGAAATAACTTATCTACTTGACAGGTAGTCAAGATTTTGCCGACTGATTTGTATGCGCCAGTGTCATTCATGGAGTTTTGATGTGTGAAAAAAGTTGCAGACTTGGTTTTACATCTTTGAGTCGGATATCTAATCCATGCTGATAATTTTCAGAGCATGCGCGTCTTAAAATTAGCAGATATTGCGATGTTTCGTGCTCAGACCATGGGCTAAAAGGGGAATAAGGGTGAAAATATTTCCTTAGCCCCAAACATTCTTTGAAGTGGTTGGTAGTAAAACGTCTTTCCAGGAACGGCTGTGTTCTTTTCAAATTGTGTGACGCAAGTGGTTCAAACCACCCAACTTTACCTATCCGGAATTACGAAAAACCAACTCAAAGAAATACAAAAAGACAAGAGGATGAAGAGTATTTAGATCAGAACTTGATGTTATTTTCCCTTTAGGGATAAAATAATGCATGCTTCTTTGTGCAAGCTTATGCTGCAATTACCACCATATCTACCCCATTTTTAAATCCGCTCTACTTTGCAACCGATTTGGATCGCTTTGCTGACCGATTGATGTTTTTTTTGTGAAGTAATACTTTTGGAAGTCAGTAACTTAGACTACCTTATTACCAAATAAGGTGTTTCTGGAGAGGGTGAATATTAGTTCCGTCAAGAAAATGAAATGCAAAATAGTCGGTTTCAGTTTTAAATAGTAACACCTGTCATGGACCTGGGTCTTCTAAATGTCCTAAGCAAATAAGACCGAACGCTGAGCTGCTGTGATACACAAAAGTTAGTAAAGACCTTGGGAAGAGACGCGATCTCTCTATCATTTGCGTCGTATCCTGGTCAAAAATGAGTAGAATTACAGTGTTCAAGTGGCCTGTATCATAGCAGTGTGTATGCGCTCTACAATATGTGGCAATGCTCATGCAGACTCAACCATAGCCAGCAAAGCATCCTTCCTTGTCACCAAAGAAGTAGTTCGAATTGAAGATCCAAAAGTACATGCAAGAAATGAGGTCTGATAATGTCGAAAACACTAACAGCGATGGTGGACCATCACAAATTTATGATTCCATTGGATGTAGAACTCAAAAGCATTGTCTTCAACTATAGCTACACTTTGCTTATAGTTAATGCCTCCCAATCTCAAATAAAAACGCTTTATTCTCATTCGTTTTCACTCATCAACAGTAAAACTGCTGAAGGCATAAAAGTAGCTCATAATTGGCAGATTCAGCAAAGACCTTTCCCACGAGATCTTTTTTTTGAAATAACTAAAGTAGACTGTAGTTAAGTCATTTGTAAAGATTTCGAACTCATTAACATGGATATGGTTTACACTTGAGACAGGAGGGTGGATAAAGCGTTCGCACTGTTTAAACGACTTCATCCTCTCCAAATTAGCATCCAAACGGATCGGATAGATTGGTGGTACATACTTCAATGGGTCTCCAAATCAGTGAAGTTGCCAATGAATTTTGTAACTCATGAATGTGTCTTTTTTGTTTGTTAGGCGTTCGCTTTTGTGACAGTACCAATAGTCATAGAGATCATCACAAATTTGCTCGTTGGCATGGTTGCATTGACCGATATTCCCATCTTAAATCTCTACTTCATTGGCAATCCCTTCACAATGACAATTTCACAAGTCGGATTGGCCATGTAAGTGCCTTTGGCGACCTATTGAAGGTAGGTCCGTGCATCGACTCATTTATACTCTTTGCATTCAACGGAATACGTCATAAGTGATTATGCAATGACCTACCTTTTTCCCGTCCTTTCGAGATTTGATGCGATCTGGGTTACAATTACACCTACCACATATTTCACTATAACAATCATTCAAATTTCCTCGTGAGAAACTAGTCTGGACATGGCAGTACCAACCGAAACATGGAAAAAAACTCTTATTGATGTGCTAATCAAGTAAATGCTCTTTTCACAACCTCTTAGTAACGTCTGTGCAACCACGAGGCGTAAAGTTTTTATGTTTATCTTGCGATCTTTCTTTTTTTACCTGGGCGTTTTCATACTCTCGCTTGTAAACTCGACAAAATCACTCGGAACCTGTCATATAGAATAGCTATTGATGGAAGGAGTTTCACAGAACCACAACAAATCACTTTACTTTGCCTAACGTAAAGCGCATTTCATAGGCATTTAGGATTCCAGAAAAATGTGACTTTACTCTGATTACTAGCTTAAGGTTAAATCCAAGATTGTCCTATCTACGGACTTGTGAAAGTAGTACGGTAGTGGATGGTGAATAAGGGGAGAAGTCCTCGCAGTTCTCAACGGATCACATGTTGTGGAGTACTTTTAGGTACTTCTAACTGCAGATCAGTTCTTTACAAACACTGTGTATGGAGAGTTGAAGAGTAGCAATGTGCGATACCAGAATTTCGCCGATTTAATATGGTTAGGGAGATCTAATGAGAAATTTTTAAATACATTTAACGGGTTATCTTTGCAATACTAATTGTGAATTATGTTGCAATTTGAAATTTTTCCTGCAATACGTTTATTGTTTTATAGTAGATCTTACTTCGTCATCTTGTTATGATCAAGCACTTTCTTCCACTCTGTCTGAGTTTCAGAAGAGCGCTTATCAAAGTCAAGTGAATGCCTTCTTGTCTTCTGTTGATGATATTATGACAGTCGTACCATACACATATTTCTATGCATTTCTTCACTTTCCAATCAACTTTATCAAACAAACTGAAGATGAGACGCAGCTATCAGCTACGAAACTCACCAACAATCCATCCGCCTAATTTTGGAGACTTTCTATCTTAATCTCAAGCACATAAATTCATTATTTTGACACCCTTAAGCTGTTACAACGCCATCTTGATAGCCATTGCCGTTGCCACCGGTTGCGTTTACAAGATTATTAAGAGTGACTTCCACTGAGGCATCACTCAAATGCTTAACCAGCTCCTTCAACATTGCGCTATTAATGCGCACAATTTCGACCCTGAAGTAGGTGGGTTTTTAGCTGATTTTTACGCAAGTGGATGCGATGAAAAATTGCGAAGAGGTATGCCGCAATATCAAGGCTATTTTGCAACACGCTTCACTATGTTAGTTGATGATGACTTAATGAACATGAATCTGAATTGCAGTCTTGTGTTTTGCCCTGCTTTAAAGCTTATTTCAGACGATTTCATTGCGAACCGTTAATATACGCATTTCTAGGATAAATATGAAAAGAAACTTGAACTGCGGTTCCCTCATTGTGCGTTCTTTCCCTCATTCAATGTCTCACTTGTCCTGTACTCAGAGAACGTATTAGGAAGCGGCATGAAATTAGAGCAATCTACAGCAACCTTTCAAAAGTATAGAAGAATGTGCGTCAAAGCAAAAATCCTCACCAGGTGATGTGATATCAGACCTTAATAACGCTTACACATTGCTGAAATCGTAAATGCCGCAGATGTTTACGGCAAACAAGCATTTACTTTTTAGTCTAAAAAAACTGCAGGATAACATTGCTGTTATTTTTGCATGACACTTGTAAGCGTACCCCTGCTGAAATTTATCCACTGACAGTTTGGCTAAATTTCACAAATTCGTGTATGCGCCTATTAATGATTAGGGATCCTGGTTGTCATAAGTCATATGCTTTATATTTCAGTGGCCTTCGAACTATTGGGTGTTCGGTTGTTTCTGGCCTCTTCGTGCTGTTCAACATGTTCTACTTACAGCCCAGACTGGCTACACCAAACACACCAACATCCAAAGCGTCCAAATCACTCGGCATTGAGGATAGTGTCCCACATCTCACCGACGCCGAAGTTGTCGCTGAAAAGAAGGCAAAGATCCTAGAGGCTCGGCGTATCATGCTTTTTAGCCTCGGAGGCATCTTCCTAGTCATGGCTACGAGTCGGTTCTTCTACGGAATCTCGAGCAACGTGGACAAACCCACGTGCTTCGTTCTGCTCTTCATAGGTAAGTTTACTCTCTTGTCGATTCTACTGCTTGTAAACCTTTATTTGGGCTCCACATTCTTAATAAGCCTCATAGAATTACATCCATAAAATCATCATTCTTCACAGGCTAGTACCCAAATTTGTGTCAAGACAGTACCTGAAGTTTGCCTTCACTCAAGAACAGAGCTCTGAATAAAGGAAAACAGAACAATTTTCTGCATCTGCAACTTCCTGAGAGAAAGTGATGAGTGGGTTTGTGCTCTAAAAATTATTAGCTTTTCCGTCGCATACAATTACAATTTCTTCCAACAATAAATAATACGAAACTAACGAAGTAACCGTTCAGGGTGGCTTTTAGCCTTATTTAAGCGTGGTGGGGAATAATTTAAGCAAATGAGTGTCAAAAAGTCCGCTTTGTCTCGAGCTGCCATAGCTAGAAGGCAACATATCGGTGTGCTTTGCGCAAAGTTAACTCTTAAATTTTGGGAAAATTTTGGTGTCCGCTTTTCAAGTCAAAATCAATCATAAACTTTTATGTTAGTCTGCCATTTTTATGTTCATTTATCATTCATTTTATTTTTTTGTTGTCCACATTCAGGTATGACTCTGAACGCTTTCCAGTTTTATGGACCTCTAGTGCGAGCTCTTCTGTCGGGCTTGGTGGCTTGTGAAGTGCAAGGTGAGTCAATTCAGGAAAGGTCAACAATAGCTTTTTGCTTGGTCTGCAAACGAGTCATCAAGTAAACTCCCCGATTTCAGATTAGAGAAGATGCCTTCCCTTATCGAAACAATTTGTCAATATCTGTAAACAATCCTATTTAAGTCATTTTTAGCCATTGCCGACATTTTATGAAATCCTTGGCTAAGTTCGGCTATTTAATTAATTTTCTTTTAAATAGAAGTCAAATGTGGTTCGGGTCACTCGATTGTTTTACGGATGGTGGTTATTTGTCTCCATTGTGCTCTTTATGATCGTTCAGGTCTCCTGTATGCCCTCGTTGGCTTCTCCGATGCCTTGGGTTCATTCATAGGCTTGACTGCATTACCAGCATTGTTTGCCTCGACGGTATTTATGAATGCTGGCTTTGTGTTCCACGTAGGGGCCCTCATCCTCTCTCTGGCCTTCGTGCTTACCGCGTATGTTTAAAAGTACCATTAGGTTTCATTTATACTTGTACTTATTTTACTTCGGTAGAAAGTGTGGCTTCTCCATCAATCCAGCACTCTGATCACTTACTGGATTTTCACTTACTAGCTCAGTCGAAACTGCCTCATATGGCCTAATGATTTGTAGACATTGCTCTTAAGTATGTGATTTATATCCGCATTCATTTAGTTTAGTTTCTATTGCATACAAATTGGGGTTACAATGAGATAATTAGTCAGTCAAACAAAAAAACAGTAAAAAAAGAACTGCACGCGAGACATCCTCATCTCCACCCAATGCTATCCTGGCACACGCAAACCATTTGGAGCTTGTTTTTTTCGCGCCTGTGTACAACAGCGAGGCCTATGACTAACCACCTTCGGCAGGTCTTGAGTCATCACAGGTCTTTTCCGTACCCTCCAAGCATCGCCACATCCCCATGTCGGAATGCGAATGTGCTACATGACTTTTCCCATTAACCTCCTCGACATGTCCTTATCTTGCTCACGCATAACTATTTTTTGTCCTTTTCTCAAGAAGCGTATTGACAGGAGAGGCGCCATAAATTCTGCAACTGATCACCAATAGAGAGGTGGTTTGTGTGCTTTCTGGAACGAAAGGACGGATCTCAAGATTTGGTGCATCATTTTTGCAAGTTTATCACGCACCTATAAGGTTCACCATCTGTAACTCTAACACTAAAAAGGAGCACAATTTCCAGAGTAGCTGAATCACTGCCTTTCTCCACCATGAGATGGAGCAATTAACACCTCCCAATCGTGTATCAATTCCTAGTAGAGCATCCCAGTTCCTCCAACATCTTGCTATTATTGTGTTTCCTCGAAAAATGAAAATAAACTAGTGAAAAATTGGAGATTTTGGATTCAAAACAATGTTGTCACCTTCACTAGTACGTTTTGTTGACCTTTTAAGTAATATTTTAAGTTAGCCTTTATTGAACAACAGCAGGTAAGTTTTGCAGGTAGGGGAACGGGTGAAGCTGACAGTAATGAGAGTATAGCCACTTTATTGTAGCTCAGACACCATGTTTACCGCCTTCTCAACTTCATGATTAATAGTTCAATAGTTTAATTAATAGTTTATTGGTGCTTTAGAGTCTAATTTCGTGCCATTCATTCTGTTCCATTCGTTGTATGTGCTAACGAAGCCTTACTTGTACCGCTTTACGTTGGAAATAAAGTTCTGCTCATCAACTTATCTAGTGTAATTATTTGATCATTCAGTCAATTAACTTTCTGTTTTGCCCGCTGAGCTTATATAAAGTCAGAGATGTTTGCATCATTCCTATGCAAGAAAACGTCAAGATGCGTTCAATTTGTCGTCACCCAAAATTGGCGAGAACAACACGAACTATTTAACCTTTAGCCTTGTGTTAAGAATTGTTTTGAAATTTTTACTTTTAGAATAGTTACGGGGAGAGATTTACAGTACACTGGTCCTACAAACAATCTTTAGATTGCTCACCTTTATCAACCACGCCTCTTCATATTCTACATTTCATTTTTTTCACATTTTAGCATTAACATGTACCTCCTTCTTTACGGAAAGTACAAGTGAATCTTTCTAGGTCCTAAGAGCTCTTCTTCGCGACTTGCACAGAAAACCACCAATTGTTCATTTGTCACCGCAATTACGTAAGGAAAGGATGACTTGACTTTGTTTTTATTACTTTCAACTCGATGCTAATAATAAAGGAATTGGGTATGATTTACTAAAGGGGACTTTTGTTCCTTTCGTTGGTGTCTAGACAAAAGTAAACGTTACGCCTTCGGCTGACTACTATAACAGTCGGAAACTTCTGTTCATATCATGCGCGTTTCACTCTGGGAGGCAGCTTAGTTGTCGAATTTAAAAGCCGGAAAACCTGTGCTTTCCTCATCGGTGTACGAATGCTTCGGATTGAGTGAGTGTTCCCAAAATAAGAAATTGGTATCGTCTTGATTAAAGTCTGTATTGGGAGGATCGGGCTGCAAAAAATGTCCCAGCGACATGCCCCTAACTGATTTTGTAGCTCGATCAGCTACAATCCTGATTTCCCCGTTCCTTTGCCTAGAGTTCTAACTTAGTTACCACGATGACACCCCAGCCTAGAGGCTTTTTCCTTCGCGTTGTAAGTACTTCAACATCCACAGGCTGAGGGGGAATGTGTTGTGCTTGGATAGCCAATGACCATAGGACTATGCAGACCTACATACGTACGGAGGGCATGCATGCGCAACGATGGGACAAGTCTCGGCATGCCTCTGCACTTTTCCTGTGACCTTCAAGTATCCGCATGTGCGTGCACGCGCTTGTATGCACCTGAACCCTGTCCGCCTGGAGCACTAATACTGCGGTTAAGGCAAATAATTCACCGCCGTCCATCCTTAGTATTTGTTGGAAAGTAGAGCAAATCTTCACCAGTAACAGCTGCCAAAGTTCGACAACCGAAATTCGGGAACGTTAGTTCGTTCCACTTATGGTACCTGCTCACTTACAGATTGATTAACAAGGTTTGACTGACTGACGTAATGGAATCGAAATTATCTAATTACTGGCCGCATTTCCGTTATTATGACTTGCTTCTTTGTGTAAGAATGCCTATGAAAATAAGTGCTTCTATTTTCCTACCCTAGCAAGTATTGTTTAGAATATTTCACACAAAGTTTGTTTGTTATCGGAAATAACTGAGCTACTTCGTTGACTTTTCACATAGCATGAGGCTTCGCCGCATCACCTTTGTCTATAAAAATACTGGCACGCAGTCCATTGCATGCGTTCTGTTCGCGTTTCGTAGACCTGAAATCGTATTTCCACCATCCCCTAATAGCCGACACACCCATTTTGGCTTCTCCAGTACCTCGAATGCTCGCCAATGTCTGAATGCCTGTCTGCGAGGAAAATCTTAATGTATTTAAAGATGATTTCCCTTCACAATCGTGAAAAAAGACCGCAGTATCTACTGAAGTGAGCGTTTATTAGCGCCCGGACTGGTGTGATGCATTAAGAGGTCTAAAGTCAAAAACCAGTGGAAATGAAAATGCGTCAGGAGGCTGATACATGCTTTGAGTATAAAATATAAAGTTGAGTACAAGGAGATGATGAAGGCTGGGAAATAGAAAATGACAGGGTGTGAAGGAGAAAGGCAAGATACGCGCATTTGTAAACTTGTACATACTTACATACAATTATTTATATATGTATAATCATCTGTATATATATATGTATATATTGACCCTGTTTGACTCGATCGGGAGGTCTGACGATTGTGAATGACAATGGCAAAGTCCACCTTCGGAGCTGTGAAGTTGCATAATGATATTGAAGATAACATTTGATGGGGATAACCTGTTTAGCCGAGAGGTGAATAAAGTAAATACTCCTTGGAGTCGGAGTTCGTGCAAAACGCACACTGTCTGTGCATTTTTGGTTTAAAAAAGGAGAGAACAAAATGGTGGACAGAAAACTGGTTGTTTTGGCCTTTTTTCGTTTTTAAATAACCCTGCTTATCTGTGTGGATGTGTGTGCGCAATAGAGTGGATGCTGGCGCAGTTATGGAAGTGACTCCGTCCAAATCAGTGGATCGTTGGCGGCTGTGGCGGAAGACAGGCGTCCTGCTGACGACAAATTTCACAAACCCAGTCATCCGGAAAGCTCGTGGTCTGGTAGCCCGGTGAGGAACCCGTAAGACAGTAGACATGGTAACCGCGGTCACATTCACAGCAGCACATAATCAACTCCTACATGCAAAGCGATTCACAATGCAAAGCATAGATGTTGTTTAAATGGGAAAACAATGTTGTAATCCTAACATAGCAACAGAAATACAAACGACAACTACTGTCCCTCGAAATCATATTGTTTAATTCCATGAGGTAGGACAGATAATACCCCATTTTGAGAGTTGTATAGCTGCGGTAAACAAAGCATTTAGCCTCTTGGATGATAACTATCTGATTTAACTTTAAATATGCATTTAATAGCAATGCAATCGCACATTTTTAATTTACTCGACTTTGGAAATCGGGATGTGGATGAGTGGAGGTTCGAAATCACAAACAGAGTTCAAGGAGTACCTTTATCTACCTGAGGTGGTCATTGTTGGGGCCTATCAAGGTTACATAGTTGATCAGGCCTCATGTAGCATTTGATACATGGCTTAGCCAATGTAAGTAAACGAACATATAAACCAGTTTTACTCACCGAAAATGACCCTTCTTTAAACAACGAAATAAGCAAGAATCTATTTGCAAAAGTTGTTGTTGTATAAGTTTTCAATAGATTGAGCGACTCTAATCAGCGACTTACAATCAAGGAGTTTTGGAGTAACGGATAACAAACAGGTTGTCTTGCCAAACACCACAATTACCCAATGTCTAAGCACTTCTTTTGAAGTGAAGTTGCAGAAATCAATCATTTGAGACTCCCAGGCTTTAACCCGTGCGCAGTAGGCAACCAAGATCTTATGTTGGAGGTCTGCATCGTTTTGTTTGTTACACAACTGGGCAGAATTATCGTAATGCATCAAGTACAATACAGAGTAGACAATTTATAGTCGCACAAATTTAGCGATGAAGATCTTCCGACAGCCTAGTCTACAAATACGAACGGAAAATTTGTGGAAGACGGTTAAATCTGATGATATGTAGTGTTCCCAGTTCTTCACGTTACTTGAGTAGAAGTGGGGATCTTTTCATCAGCATTTCACCTAAATGGAATCACTGAGGCCATGGTCGGGCAACCCAGACTGACGAAATTGATCATGCGTGGTCACATTTATTCAGGGCGAGTTGGTCACTGTGACTTCAGGTATTCAGGGGACAAGCAGAAAGGGAGCTCGTACTGAGTAGACAGCTGTGATTTGTCCAAGACTGACGACAGCTAATGAAGCTGTCAATGGATCTTCGATGAATTTGTCAGGGAAAAACTACCTAGGCCTTTGGACGGACGCCATGGGGAAGTCACGTGACCCTTGCAAATGGAGATAATAATAATCGCGT